GGATGGCGCCCGTTAGTTGTCACGGCCCCGCACCCTGTGCTGGAGCAGCCCTGCAGCTGCTTGGGGAGCCCCTCTCCGTCATTTGCTTTCTGCTGTGTTCCTTCCTTGCCCTGCGTAATTTCTGTAGCAGATTAATGTGGTCGTAATATGACAGTTGCAAAACTGTGGAACTAGTACAAGAAATAATAGGTGGATTCAGTGGATGGCGCCCGTTAGTTGTCACGGCCCCGCACCCTGTGCTGGAGCAGCCCTGCAGCTGCTTGGGGAGCCCCTCTCCGTCATTTGCTTTCTGCTGTGTTCCTTCCTTGCCCTGCGTAATTTCTGTAGCAGATTAATGTGGTCGTAATATGACAGTTGCAAAACTGTGGAACTAGTACAAGAAATAATAGGTGGATTCAGTCTTAGGAATTTTGCGCCGGCTGTTGAAATACCATTAACTACAAAGGAGAGGTCTGACTTCCCCTTTGATACCCAGACCCTACAGCATACAGCCCATGCTGCTGCAGGTCTCCTTCAACCATTCCTCGGCATTTTAGAAGCCATTAGTGTTTAAAAAGTTCCTTCTTCCTTCCTGTTTCCTTTTCAGCAAAGCAGCAACTTTAATAAAGGAACACGTTGTCATTTAAATGAGTTCTGTTGTACAGCACAGCCAGCCTTCACACTTACAACATTTTCCTTTTCATACACACCTGACACTATATCTCTGGTCATACTTAGGCCCAGCCCGATCTTAATTGAAGCTGAAGGAAATAAATATACTCTTAAGACAGTAGATATTTTAAATTTTACTTGTCTAAATGGATATTTTTGTATTCTCACGTAGGTGCTCAAGATGCGGTGCTATGCATTGTGAATGCCCATTCTCAATTGCTTATTGCAGCCTCAGCAGCACATGCTTGGAGTTACTTCCAACTTGTCTTATCTGTCTTCTTCAGAGTTTCTGTTGGGTCTGCTTTAAAGGTGTAGCAGGAGAAGCATGGAAATTGTATACAATGTCATTGTCATGATCTGCATCAGCACAAGTTTATGTAAAACAGAAATGCAAGGTCTAGCTATTTCCAGCCTCTGTTGAAGAAAATAAGGCATCATTTTAAGTGCTCACTGCAGGAAAAAGTTGTTTCCTTTTACAATTGATACTTGAGCATCTTTTGACATGTTGAGTCCAGGGGATTTGTCAATATGGTAGTGCATACCTATGAAAATGTCAGATGTGAGAGAGGAAGAGAGTTTTCAAAGTGTTACCTTCTCCTGGCGGGATCAGGTTAAGACAGCTACTGAAGACAGCTAGCTACTGAAAGTTAGTGCTGTTTGCCTGATTGTGTTCAGCTCTGTGTCATTTTAGTGTTACTGTTAATTTCACTCCATATTATCTGACCAACTCTACTCTCTTACCACTCATAAAAAGGGAGGAAGTCAGTCTCGTGTGAAAGGGTTCTCTGCTGTTATTCCTTTTGACTGTTGTCTGTGGGAATAGATTATATTCTTGACGTGAGACTTTGCTTCAGTCTTGTGACCAATAAGACTAAACCAGGCACAAATGAGCTTTTCAGTGAAATAACACAGTAGTTGTGTTTGATACTGTATTTTCAAAATACTGCATGCACAATTTTTTGACTGGTTGACCTGGCTCTGTTAAATAAAATAATTACTGTTTTATCCTTTCCTTCTGTTTTCAGATACAAATGACTCTTCTGCTGAACTGAACCATGAGTCTTGCACTACATGATCTGCTCATTTGTTGTCGTCGCCTTGAAAATGAGAAAGCTGTGGAGAGGAGGGTAACAAATTTTCTTTTGGTTTGTGTGCCTCAACTAGCAATGAAGGGAATCGTTAATAATTCTTTTTCTTGAAATACATTTTCAGAAGGAAACTGAAAATTTCAAGCGACTTCTCCGTGATTCTGAAACGGTTCTCCAGCTGGACCGGAATTCTGATTCTAAACAAGGAAAGCAACTCAACTGGGATGCTGTATTTAGGTAGGTTTTTTTTTCTTTGTGAATAGTCATAATTTTCTTACACAGAACATTGTTCTTTTGTTTATCTGGCCTACTTTAATGCTTATCTTTCTGCAGATTGATTTAGACTTCTCATCAGCTCGTAAACAAGAAATTACTTATGTTAGTTTCAAGGGAATAAATTTAAAATAGCCAAAAACACAACACCTATCACGTGCAGAAAACTTAACCTATAAGGAAAGTGATCATTAGTTGAGTGGTCATTTTTCCTTGCAAAAATACTAGTTACTTTTTTTAATTGAAAATTATCCTCTGTATCTGATTTTTAATGTGTAGTTTATATGTAGATTAATAGCTCATTAGAATTATATAGCTGATTAGAATTTTTTGTCTTACTGAGTTCTTCAAGACACAATAGCAGGCTGTGGCTTGTGAACTAAAGAAGCTGTGCTGAGGTTTGTAGAGGCCCATCTTTGATATAATCTACTTTAAGTGTACTACAAGATTGAACTGATCATGACTGTGATAAGTTCTTATTGCAGCTGGGACCAGTGTTAAATTTCATGTTAAAAGTGCATCTGAAGTATTAGTTTTCATAAGCTGGTGTCTGGTCAGTTTTCCATTATGTTTTTTAATTGGACAGCATTGGAATAGTTCTTGTTTTGTAACTGTGCCAAAAATATCATAAGAAGTATTTGATAAATTTTATATGTTGCTTTTGAGATGGCCAATAACATATGAGAATACATAGGAGGAATACAAAAGTAGAGACTAAATTGAATACAGATAGTAGGTTAGAAAATCTACAGTAATTACCAGTGACAAAGCCAGTGAAAAGTTTAATCTATTCTTAGATCTAAAATCTAATCTATATGTTAATTTTAAGTGATGGCGAACTAGGACTTGAAGGTTTTCCCCAATAAAAACAATGAAGAGTACTTATTATTTTGTTATATAATGTTGCAGCATAAATAAAAAGATCTGTCATTGCTTTTTTTCCTAATTATAAATTGTATGTTTAGCATTATGCTAAATCTAAAGGAAAGTTTGGATCCTATTCAAGTTTCTTGTGGATTATCTTTAAAACTTACAGCTCCTTTTGTAGATTGTTTGCATATTACTTAGACTGTAATGTATTTCAGGTTTTTTTATTCTTTGATAATTAGAATTGTGAGAAGAACAAGCACTGACATTCTAGACCAAAACATTTGCCTGTTTTACTTTAGTCATAAATGTGCAGATCCTTGATTGATATCTCTTTTATTTTTGAAGTATCTTGCAGAAATATTTCCAGAAAGAAATGAAAAACCTGCAACTGACAAAACCAAATGCATCTGCTTCGACCCAAACTACCAGACAGAAAAAGATGCAAGAAGTTGGAAGTTTGGTCAAATATTTCATCAGATGTGCTAATAAAAGTCAGTAATATATATTCATATGGAATTACTGTTTTGTTTTGCTGCTTTGCTTTCAACTTTGAATTTTTACGCTGATGTAAGTTATCAGGGTAGGGTTCATCTTGCTCACTTCCAAGTGTTTACATTTTAAATATCTTAATGTGAATTGGTCCTTTGTGCTCTTTCTCTGTCCTTGTTGATGTTCACAGTACCTTTTTCAAATTATTCAATGTGCTTAGAAACGGCTTGTTTAAGAAGATTATTCCTGACAGAATTGTTTATGAACTATAGGGATTTTTTTTATTTTTACTAAACGTTTACAAACAATACCAGATTTATTTGGCACACTTTGGATTAATTACAATCTCACATTTTTTCTTCATGTAGGAGGACCCAGACTGAAATGTCAAGAACTTCTGAATTATGTCATGGAAATTATAAGAGATCCAACGAGTTGTGCTGCTTATGGATCTGACTGTAGTAGTATACTCCTAAAAGATATCCTCTCAGTAAGGAAATATTGGTGTGAGATATCCCAGCAGCAGTGGTCAGGTAACATTTTTAAGCCTACTTAGAAATATCTTTTCCTATTATAGAAGCATGTTTGGGTGCATTTTAGTTTGGTTGATTCCCTTTTGCAGTACCGCAGTGAGGTACTGCAGAAAAAATGGAGTAAAATAGTGTCAGCCTTGAAGGCTTAAAGTTCACAGAATCGCACAGGTTGGAAGGGACCTTAGGAGATCATCTAGTCCAACCCCCCTGCCAAAGCAGGTTCCTTACAGCAGGTTGCACAAGAAAGAATCCAGGCGGGTTTTGAACATCTCCAGAGATGGAGACTCCACAACCTCTCTGGGCAGCCTATTCTGTGTATGTCTGAAATAGCCTCAGTCAAACTGGTGTTGGTGTGCAGTTGTTTGCAGGTTATCAGATATTGTCTGGTATAGTTTTGATATAGTTAATATATTACTATTAAATTTTATTATCTGAGTTTTGTTGGCTTATGAAGGTCCGAAAAACCATTGAGTCACTGTTGTTATATGCATGTACTGCATATAAAGAAAAACCTACAAAGCTTAAGATTTAAATAGACAAAAACAAATTAAAAAGTTGGGTAATGATATAGCACCTGAACTGAGTGGAAATGCAACTGGAATTTTTCACTTTTCAGAGGATTGGATTTGACTTCAAGGCAGTTAACTTATTTAGCATGGAGTACGTTTATATATTTTGACTCATCTGATATGTACTAAGCTCTCATCTGTTTTCATTTGTTGATGTAGTAGAACAGTGTTTTGGGAAAAAAAGATCTTGGAAGCTTTACAGTTTAGTTGGTTGAATGTTGCACTGGTCTGCATCTCGAGTACTGTGTTCAGTTTTGGGCCCCTCACTACAAGAAGCACGTTGAGGCACTGGAGCGTGTCCAGAGAAGGGCAATGAAGCTGGTGAAGGGTCTGGAGAACAGGTCTTATGAGGAGCGACTGAGGGAAGTGGGGTTGTTTAGCCTGGAGAAAAGGAGGCTGAGGGGAGACCTTAGTTCTCTCTACAGCTACCTGAAAGTAGGGTGTGGTCAGGTGGGTGTAACAAGTGACAGGACAAAAGGAAATGGCCTCAAGTTGCACCAGGGGAGGTTTAGGTTGGGTATTAGGAAAAATTTATTCACTGAAAGGGTTGTCAAGCATTGGAACAGGCTGCCCAGGGAAGTGGTGGAGTCACCTTCCCTGGAGGTATTTAAAAGACGTGTAGACGTGGTGCTTAGGGACATGGTTTAGTGGTGGACTTGGCAGTGTTAGGTTTACGGTTGGACTCGATGATCTTAAAGGTCTTTTCCAACCAAAACAATTCTATGATTCTAAATACTACCTTTTATTTGTGTAGTGTAGTGCTTTGAAGTCAGAGTTTGGGTTTCTGAAAAGCATTCTGTAAGAAAATACTCTGCATTGTAGCTTGAAGAGAGTTGCTTAAATACAGAATGGAAATAAACCTGCAAAGAGCTCAGAAGAGGGGTCTGGTGATAACAGGAGTGAAAGAGGAGACAGAAAAACCTGCCAAAGGCTGGCAAAGCATAGTGACTAAAATGGAACCATTCTGGATGGGAGATGTGGTTGGGTGATTAGAGAGTGTGAGGGTGAGATCTCAGTGGTTGGGTGATGAGAGAGTGTGAGGGTGAGATCTCAGAAGTTAAAGAACTTGGTACCATTTGGCCATGGAGATAGAACTGGAAGCTGAAGATTGAAGGGGATGGTGGAACTGTATGGAAAAACTGCTTGAAACTAGGAGCCAGTGAGGGGAGTAGAAGTCAAAGGACTGTCTGCCTGCAGGTTGGAGCAGAATGCGAAGGCGGGGACTGATCAGATAGAGAGGCTGGAAGCTGGAGTTCAGAGCAATAAACAGGAAAGGCATCTGAAGAAGAACAGGGTACTCGGGTAGAACTGAGGGTGGGTGGGTATGGAATAGGACAAGAAGCCGGGCATGTTGAAGACAGATTGAAGAAGGCAGAGAAAGGAAACTGAGTCACTCTACAGAACAGAAGTACAGTAACTGGTCATTCTGCATCCCAAGGACTATATGATACAGCTGCTCTGAGCACACACCTGGTTGACTGTGAACCAAGTAGTTATAGTGGCTGAGATTCCCAAAAGATCATTCTACCTGTATTTTTCCTTGGAGGAAAGGAGGCCTAAGAGGTAGATGTCCATTCATTCAAAATGTTGTACCAAAATAGCTGCTGAGGTCAGAGGACTGAATCAGTCTTTCATCCCGCTGTTGTTCTTTGCAGTGGGTGTTGTCCATTGGTGGACTGACAGACAGTATCATGTCACTTAGAAGTGGCACAAATGAAATAGCAGCAAGGCTTTTGAATGTGCTGTGTGAAACTGATAGTGGTGGTTGGATTGGTAATGTGCTACCATGATTTGTACGAGGCTGATGAAAGGACAGTGTGGTGTTTCCTAAATGGGCCTTGAGATGAGAAAGCAAAAATATGAGGAAGGGGCCTTTCCTTCAGGGAACCTGTAAATGGTTGAAAGCGTGGGTGTGTTGGTCTGCAGGCTGGAGTGGGCTGGCTGAGCTGTATGTAATGGAAGTATGTGCAGCCTCAGTACCAACTGTTCTGATCTGTTTACCTGCTGCACCAAATTCTTTGTTAACGTATGTGTGGTTTTAAATCATTTCTGAGTAGTTTTATTGTGTATTCTGCACCAAATGGAGCCCATGGTGCTGAGCAATCAATGTAGAGTAGAAGTTGGGTGTGGAAGTGCTCACGAAAGTTGATTGTGTGGCTACAGCTACTTTGCTCAGTGTAACACAAAGCAGATCGTATCCCAGCTCAGAATGAGTATAACTTTACTTCCAGTATAGACAAGACCACATTTTTTTCCCCCTGGTTAACCTTTGTGAAAAATGGCATGCAGCTGAATTCAAAATGATGGTTTCTGTATATTTAATACAATATTTTGCTTCAAGCATTTTTATGTAATCCTCTGTAATGGGTATATTTATATATATTTGTATATATACAACATATGTACACAGTATATCACATACACTTTTTTTAAAAAATATATTTGTAGAGTTGCTGATATTGTATGGCCAATTATACCTCAAACCTTCTGGGAAGATTAATAGAGTCTTGGTGGCTAGGATACTTCACACACTTATGAGAGGGTACTGCTCCCAAACTGATGGCTTGAGTTCTGATATGTTCAGCTTCTTTTCAAAAGCAATGCAGTGTGCAAGGTATGTTGCAAGTGCTCCTTTTTTATTCAGATACCTACTTTTAGAGAATAACTCATTTTAAGTATTTGGGATTAGACTTGAGTAATAGCAGATAATACTTCTTTAGACATGTTTGGTTCTGTCTTTGAACACCAATTTAATAAATTATTTAAAATATTAATAACTTCTTCATTTGTTAGGCAAATAATGTTCTGAATATAGTTAGTTGCTAGTATTTACATTTAAACAATTCATGTGAAAAGAAATAAGATTATTTCTTCTGGAAGTCTGAGTGTTTGGTTTATGTTGCAGGCAGGAGAAGAATACTGCAGGCCTGGATCATATTATTGGAGCAATGAATATCTTCTGCAATAAGTTTGCTGTCAACTGTCGCATACAGATTTGTAAAGCAGGGGAAGAAATTTTGCCTACAGTGCTTTATATATGGACCCAGTATAGACCAAAGGATTCCCTGAAGGAATCAATAATTGAGTTATTTCATCTCCAAGTTCATATTCATCATCCAAAGGGTGCAAAAACTCAGGGAAAAGGTACAGTAAAAAGCTCCGTGGTTTTTTTTTCTATCGCTGTATGTGATTGTTCAAATTATTGTGCCAACTTCCTGAATTTTGATACTGAGTCTCGGAAGCATTAATGGGAGTGATGATTACTTCTCAGTAGTTTTGTGCTATAGGTTAACACTGAGTGAAAGTGAAAGTGAATTTTCAATTTGTGTGCTCTAAGAGAATACTAATTGTATTTAGTCCTGTAAGGGTTGATTGTGTTTGGTTTTTTTTTTATCAAAAGGTGAATTTAATTACTAAATCAAAACACAAAGTCTTTGGGGAAGGGAAATAATAGTTTAGATTGCCACATATATCCATATCTTATCAAGTTCATTTAAGCACAGAAATTACTACTATGGTCTAAGTCTGACTTACTGTATAAAACTGGTCAGAGAACATCAGTGAGTAATTGTGTGTGTTTGTTATGCCCTATTTCAGTTACAGCATCATTTTTTGGAAAAAAAAATAAAATTTTTTACTTTCTCTACAAATGGCAAAGAGTTTATAATTAGTCCAAATTTATCCACTGCATTTCACTGTAATCTTTCCAGTTAGGTAAATAATTGTTTATTAGAAACTTAATTCATACCCTGATTACTTTTATATGCTGATTAAATTTTCCCTTAACTTTTAAAACTTTTTTACATTATTTGTTCTCCATTATAAGACTTGCTTTGCAGGCCTTGCATTTGTTAAGCTTTGGATGCTTTACTCTGATTTTGGCTGTATTTTGTATTGTGTAGATAGGT